AACAAGTCATTCTACCTCGCATTCATGGCTTAGCTCTTAAAACAACTGTTGCTGCGGTATGTATGAGTTTTTTAGGCAATTAGCTTAATATTAAATTATAGTCTTGTTTTTAGATTTAATGTTATGACTAAAGACTGTTATGCCACGTAATCTATTAAAAAAAAGCATTTTGTAATAAATAAACTTAGGGTTTCCTTGTGCATCATTCCTGCTATTTTCCTGAACAGACGTGCTTCTAAGATGAAAATGATTGAGGTCATCCATAAATTTGAGTGTAATGGAAAAGGAAAAATGATACTTCTGGTTCTCGAATATTGTGCGGAACAAGGGCCTTTTCATTTTTGAAAATTCCAAAGATTTTAAAAAAGAAAGAAGACGGCATAGCTATCCTTTCTATTAATCTTGATTAATTATGAACCATTTTTGCTTCTTTGAGCAGGTCAGAGTCGGTGCTTGCTATGCTTAGAGAGTTTGTTCACACACTTGATAAAAAAGCCGTGCTGGATGTCTTGCAAACCATTCAACGTTGCACAGCTGTTGATCGTTCTGCTTCAACTCTTATGTCTACCCTAGCGGTTTCAAACTCAATTCCCAAGCAGATAACAAGAAACTCACATTTTGTTGTTTCAGTTGTTTTCCATTGTATATCGGGACCTCGAGGGGGCCATACAGCTCATTATCTGTCTTTTCCATTCATCTTGTTTAGTATGGGATCGAATTCGCTGCAGAGCACATCCTCCCTCTACTCATACTTCTTCTTACAGCCCAACAGATGAATGTTCAGTAGTTTGCCAAATATATGCTCTTTGTTAAGGATATTCACAGGTATAGATGTTATTGGTGTGCTTGTTAAATTCCCTAAACCTATTTCTCTGTACACCTGCGTGATTTCGTGGTAAAACATGAATTCTTTCTTCTGTCTCTTTCTCTCAATGATGCGATTCTTAATATTGTATTAACTCAGAAAGATGGAAGAAAAGCGAGGTGTTACTTTAACTGATTCTGGAATCCCAGAGGTCAAACATGCTGCTGCTGCCAATGAGCTTCAATCTCAAGCCTCGGGCAAAGCAAATGGAACAGTGGCTTCTGCAAAAAGCAGCCCAGTATGGGATGAAGATTGGGTTCCTACTACTGGAGCAGCTGCCAATGTCAGTAATACTGACCGTCAGCCTTCCAAGAATGATTTATCTGTTCACTCGATTTTGGGTGATAAGTCGATTCAATCAGCACCAGACAATCTCAGTCTTCCTTGATATCTGCTGTATCCAGCTAGCAAAAATCTAATTCTTGTCCTGCGGTTGACATTGAGTGGCCTCCTCGACCATCTTCAGGTGTTACTGCAGAGTCGGGCAATGGCGAGAGGCAATTAAATGCAGGAACATCATTGCCATCAAATTTTGAAGATATAGATCCTTTTGGTAACTGGCCTCCACGGTCTAGTACCTCCTCAAATGATTATGGAGCCTTTAGTAATGGTAGCATGGGGCCAGGCATGAACAATTATGAATTCAGTTGTATTGCAATCCCCACGAACTACCAAACAGACAACAGCAATAGTAGGATGTTCGGCAACCAAAACTCCGGGAATTCAACCTTGAAAGCAGATATTTTGAACGGCCCCAGAATACTATCGGATTCATGAAACAGAACCATCGGGCTTCAGCTTCAACGAGTTCTTCATACAATAACCAGAAACCGGCAGAGATTGGATCTATATTTGGTTCTAGTAAGAATGAGCAGACAGCTCCGAGACCTGCACCGCCACCGTCAACGGCTGTGGGAAGAGGAAGAGGCAGAGGGAGGGGCGGTAGTTCTGGTTCAAAGACATCCTACGGCAAAACAATGTCGTAACAGCCACCTCTTTGGATTTACTTTGATAGGTGGGGCGACCCTTTTTACCAACACCAAGTTTTGAGATTTTTGATACAGCTGCCAATCCATCCATCCCAAGTTGTGAGCTCAAAGCTGTTGGTTTGAAAGTAAATCGAATCATCTCGGAATGAGAGTCGTCATGTGGATGGGCATTATTTGTTACGAGATCCATGTAACAGGGTGCGTGTTTGTATGTGATAAAATTTGTATTTTCCCCCTCAATTATTATTCCTTGTCTGTTTCTGGACATATACGTTCCACATGCATACTGTAATTGTTGAAACATTTAGGTGATTTAATTGATTGGGTAAACAAAAACTAGTAAAGCAAGTCGATACATATGCGCATCATAATTATATGAGTTATAATTTACGGTAACTATTAATTTAAGCAGTGTTTAAAAATCATAGGTCTCGTCGGCTTCATTTGTCGCTAATTTTGACGAGACGGTTAGTTTATAGACTTGTCATTTGCCCTTCTTATTGGTTAATGGAATGGGTTGAATTCCAGTCGTTTTACGATTAATTGTTTTCAGAATGGAGATTAGATATAGCATTATGGTTTGGCTGAAACTCCAATTCCAAGTCGAGAACTAGAAGTAAGGTGCACGACCATAAAGGAGCGTGTAATCATGAAGTTGAGCTTGGAATAGGGACACCTACCCATGCGTAACACACCCCATGACCATGTAGGTCATTGAAATCAATCCCAAAAGGATCTTCCACTCCTCTTTTATTTACAAATCAAAATACGACACGTAATTACCATTTCCGTTTTCCAATTCTTGCCAGTCATTCTCTGTCTCCCCCACTCTGCATCTGCAATTAAGAATATTAGAAAAAAATGCTAATACATATAAATGAAACTTTTGTTTCCTTAAATCTTATTTTAAATATTTTCCAAGTAAAATGACATTTGAAATATGATAATCCTGTGCTAATTAGAAAGCGATATTAGCAAAAGACAATGGCATCTGAATCGGTAATCATCAATAATAAATGTATCATCTTGAAAGATTGTTCTATTTTTTCTTTGTATTTTAGATTCAAATTCATTCTAGATAAAAAGTACATACAAGCGACTTGAGATTAAAACATTTTAATATTATTCTTATAATATTTGATCTAAATAAATTAAATACAATATTATTATTATTCATCAACATCAACGTAATTTCGACATTGAACGACAACATTATAAAAAAATGATTAGTCGAGGGTGATTACAAGATAGTAAGTACTACATGTTTAAAGGGCTCTCAACCATTTTGATAATGAATGCTCAAACACCCATGTAAATAATGTGCTTGAACCTTAAATTTCTAGAACTAGTAATATCGTTTAATTCATGCTGACATAAGAAATCTTAAATGTGAAAGTTGGAGTAGAAAATAATCACCTTATAAAATTTAAAAGCATAGTGGGGGCATAATCTTAAATTTCTAGAACTAGTAATATCGTTTAATTCATGCTGACATAAGAAATCTTAAATGTGAAATTTGGAGTAGAAAATAATCACCTTAAACAGTAGAATAGCATTTTAAACCCAGAAACATGCAGAAGTAAAATCAGGTTGTTCAGCAGCCTAAAACGGGTCCATCCCGATGCAGAAATGAAGCGGTACAAAAAATACTTTAATTTCCTCGAAGATGTGTCCTTTTCGTTAGCTCCCACATGGAGTAATGTAGTCTCCACGGATATTTTCAATAAACATCACACGGAATACGACAAAACAAATGGGGATTATTATATAAATATTTCTGAAACCCAGGGATGAACAGGACACAAGGAGTTATTGTCAATGAATACAAGTCTTCTGCTTATAAAGTTTGTGGTGCTATACTATTGAAAGATGGACCGAAGAAGAAAGGCAAGGCCGCAAATAATAATTAAAAGGCATTGAATCCCCTTTTATGTGGTGTACATAAATAAGAGCTTAATCGTATTTTTGAACTTCATACAAGCCTGTGAAATCTTGGAACTTGCTCTTTAAAATAATTCATCTGTGAAACAACAAAAACTACATATGTTTATTGAAGAAGCAAAAAAATGGACGACTTTATTGGATCCCTCTAAACAAAGGGTTGGATAGATTTTTTTGTTGTTGTTGTCCTAGTTTCAAGGCTTCCCCTTGATCAATCTAGACCGACTCGTATCGTACATATAATTTTGGTGGGTGAGTCTCCCTGCAGGAATTTTCTGTATACACAAAAACTCGAGACTTTGCTTAAGCGATATCAATCTGTTTACCACTTAAACCAAACCATGTTGATTTGGATGGATTAACTTTATTAGAACCAATTAGATGATAGTGCGTGTTAGTATCTAATTGATTTAATTAAAACCCAAGGAAATAAATTGATGAATTTGGAAAGGAAGGGCCCCAGACGTCGTTCAAATCCACTTTCTCTCCAACTTGACTCATATTTCCTTTATTAATTTTATTTAGTAGATTCTTTTGACAAATTTAAATATAGATTTTGATGGAATTATAATAAATTTCAAACAAGCTTATTCGCCAGGCACAAATACCTAATTTAAAGGGTTCTTAGTTCGAAATTTTTACTTCAAATACATTAATTTATTTTCTATATATATTTTAAATCAATAAGATAATAAAATGTATTGATGACCCAAAAAAATAGAGTTAAATATGCTATTATATAGGTTACTAACTACTTTTGTAGTTTATCCCACGTTATGATACGAAAAATAGTACCAACAACTAGTTTGTCCAATAGGATGAGCTATTAGATCCTTTAAATAAAGTTGAAGGTTCGAATCTTGACGATTGTGAATGAAGTAAATTAGATTGGGAGGGCATCTTTCGCCTCTGTAGTATCCGATTCGGATTAATCGATCAATATATCATATACCAGTAGTTATAAAAAAAAATGAAAAGTAGTTAAAAAACACAGTACTAAACGATACAAGTTGTAGGACACTGGTTTGAAATAATTTCAGCTTTGCATTAATATTATATTACAAATGACTTTAACTCCGGAAGACATCATCCCTTGTCTTCTTCATATGAAAAGAAAAAAAAAGGTGAAGGAATCTAAGGTATTTTATTAATTAACATGATGAACACAACCCCACTAATGTCAATGTGATAATCGATGGGCGTAGTTAACGAGAGCGACGGTGATTAACTAGGCCATAACCAGCAGTTCTTCGTGACCTGGGAAGATACACTGTTGATTCCGAAACCGCACAACTTCTTTTACACGAAGAGTACAGATTTATGAACCCCAACCGGTCACTCATGCTCCTCGTCACCTTAGCTCCGGTCCAGAGATTCCTTTCGGTCGCTTGATCACCGTCTTCCTTGGAACACTCGACCAACGCAGCGAAAAATGGATCCACTTGCCGGAAACTGTCGGAAGCGCCGGCGGATGCTTTCTTCCTTGTAAGCGTATCCTCGAAACTGTTGTTTTTGGAGGTCCGTGGGATTGTCGGCGGCGGCAATGGCAGCAACTTCATGGAGTACTCCTTGTTGTGGTTCTGCAGCTTCTTGGGGATCCCTGGTAAATGTTCCCAAGAGAATGGAACGCCTGAAATCGGAATGGAGTCCCGGGGTGAGACATGAATCATCAGGAAAATACGAAGATGATAGCGAAGACGATGACGATGAAAGTGAGAAAGGGAGAGAAAACGAAGGATATTTGGTCGCCGGAACTATGGAGTCACCGCATTTTTTTGCGACCTTCTGGTGATGCCCAATTTGAGTGGAGGAGGAACCCATAGCTTTAGAGAAAATGGAGGAGATCGATTTGTGTTATCATATGGTCTTCTTTTGTAATCTTCCTCTTATTTATTGTTTTATTTCTTTGACCTGGTCCAGATATTATTATTATTATTATTATTTATGGGATGGGATTTGGATATTACATTATTAGGGAATAAACCATTAGTTTTACTGCTAAAAATGTCTTGTTAGTTGTCATAAGAGATAAGGAGTATATACATTAAAAAGTTATAAATGGTTTTCAATTATAAGATATTATTTTATTAAATTTTTAACAAATTGATTATTCAATTATTTTTGTTTTTTTAAATTCATCATTTTCTATTAAAAATTAACGGTAACCTGAGATGGACATTAATATGTTTATTGATAAAATCTGATGTAAATCTCAAACAATTATCATATATTAGTCAACAGATTAACGTCCAGTTCAAATTGTCATCAATTTTTAATAGAAAAAAATAAATTTGAAACGATAAATAGTTAGGTGCTCATTTTGTAACTTTAAATAGTTTATAACTCAATACAACAATCTATTATATTCGATGGATCATTTTATAAGTTTTGATAGTCAAGAGACTCAATAAGATAACATCATATAGTCGAGAGATTATTTATATACTTTACCCAAAAAGCTAAATAAAAAGATGATTGAAAATTTATTTTTATTGAGATAAATTTATTTAATTTTATACAAATTGATTTAATAAAAATTTAAATTAAATTTAATTAATAAAATAAATTTTCATTTAAATGATTTAAATTTATTATACTTGGTTCTATTTAAATTAGAAAAATATTCATTCCTATCAAATTGCGACTTTCACAAGTTTTTAACATATATCGAAATATAATTCGTCAGATATAAATAATACCAACATAATTATTATGATACTCGTTATGTTATTTTCAAATATAATATTATTACACAAAAATATTTATTTTAACTATGACATATTAATAGAACAAGAATGTTATAAACTTAATTATTTTTAAATTTCAGTAACCAAATAAAAAAATATTTTAATCTATATAGGGACGGAGTCATGTAGGCCTTTGGATAATTATGTTGTACAACATCCTAATATAATGCTAAGGAAGGCACAATCGGAAATGTTAATATTTTTTTAACATTTCCGGTGGAGCATTACCTAAAATGTCAATTTTATTACCTAATATGTTAATCTTTTAACGTTTTCGGTTGCAAATGTAACACCCCAACCCGTACCCGACCCGAATACGAGTCAGAGGTGTCACATTGACTTTTCAAACTTTGACTCTTAAAGAAAAATAGGGAAATTTAAAACTTTCATTAAAACGAAATACGTTAATTTACATAAAAGAGACCACTTAAACAAAATCGATCAGAGTCGTAATTAACCACTTATTACATGCCAACACTCTATACACAACAAATACTTACTTTGTCAATTACTTCTGATATGATCTTTTAGTAGTGTTGTTGTTGTTCCACTTCTATTACTGCTCTTGTTTCTTGGTACCTACGTAAATCACTTACACACTAAGTTATAGACTTAGTGAGGCAATAATGAACATATAACAATAGATTCATGAATATGCATTCTTACCATTTGATCATGACATTTCAATATGCATGTCTATATTTCATATGTAATCATGTCATGCATATATGAAACTTGCATTCTTGTGTCAATTTCACTTTAACTTATCTTTCAGTTGCCCATGTATATTATTGAGAACAGAGGTACGTGAGTACATTGAGGTTGTGCACTAATATTGTCACCACAGCTCATATAAATTCCCTCATGGGGCACCAAACATTTGTTCAGTATTCATCCTGAAGGACTATTATGTCCCGAATGACCACTATATACGTCCTGTAGGACTACTGGATATGTCCCGAAGGACTACTATACCCTCGACTCTTGGCATGCCAATTACACCTATAGCTCTCATATCATATAACATGGGCTTTAATATGAATACATTTCTCATTTCATATCTCTTTCATCACTTTTCATGTAACACATATAATCATTTCCATTATTCCACATGCCTGGATTGTTTCTCTGGTAATGATATTCAGTCCCTCAATAGCATATTAAAGCATAATAAATTATGCATGAAATCACCATAACAATAATATATGTATGCATGTACACGAGTATAAAATCATGAATTCAACTATCAGAGATAGACTTATCACAAGTCTTATCTCTATACACTTTAACTATAAAATGCACTCACCTTAGCCTTGTTTGCTTTGATTCGATCCTAATCCTTTGATTATTCCGGAACTTGTTTAGACTCAATATCTACATAATATAACATTTAAAACAACTATCAGAAGCCTAAACCTTAAACTTGATGTTAATAACTTAAGCCAGATTAAAGAACCAAATTCCAATTTTGATTTAGGGGGAATCGATACCCCCAGAGGAATCGATACCCCATGGACATTCTGAAATTTTTCGTTCAAGAGGGGGTATCGATACCCCTTCATAGGGTATCGGTTCCCTCTGCCCAGAAATTGTATTTTAAGCCTGAAAATCATCAATTCTTCACTCAATTCTTCTATTTTAAACCTCTATCATATCATTAAATCAAACTACCATTACTTAAACCAACTTATATCCATTAAAATCATCTTTAACGTCAAAATCCTATCATTCATATATAATTCAAGAATCATACTCAAATTTCAATATGTTCTAAATACAATTCTAACACTTCATATTCCTTAATTATCATGATGACAAGTCAAATTTAACTTTAAATTCAACTTATCAACTTTTTTCCATAATTTCATATAAAAACTGTTGAAACATTTTAATATTTCGATATAACAAATTAAGTTAAATGGATTTTAAGATTTTCCAAATGATTTTCTAAGTATATTCGATATAACTATTCGAATATCAAAACATTACTCCAAATATTTCAAAAATCATTTTTGATCCTTACTTAAGTGTAAAATTAAGTTTTAATCATAAAACAATTTCAAAATAATTTTACAAAGTATTTCGAACCAATTCAAAGCCAAAAATTCCAGATTACTCAGAGGGAACCGATTCCCCCCATAGGAGGAACCGATTCCCCCCTGAATGGTTTGGCTCCGATTTCCAGAATGCTCGGAGGGAACCGATTCCCCCAAGGGGGTACCGATTCCCCCCTGTTCAACGGTCGAAATATTTGAATTTTACACTTAGGGAACCGATTCCCTATGAGAGGGAACCGATTCCCCCCACTGTCCAAGCTGTTTTATTAAATGTTTTCACACTAAAACGGCTATAATATTTTCTCTAATTATCCCCAACGTTCAGAAGTGATCCAAGGTGTATTTAAGCAAGCTTAGAAGCCATTGATCAACAACAAGAAATATCAAGCAACTAGAATCAAGAGAGAATCAAAGAGAAAGCATCAAACCTCAAGTTTGAGCATTTCAAGCCTATTTTCATTCAATATTCTTTTTGCTTTCAAGAACACTTTCTGTGCTCAATTGTATTCATCTTTGAGTGTTCTTTTCTTGTTCTAGAATGTGCAAACATCTTACCTTGTGAGGTTTTCTTATAAGTTTGCAAATTTGTAATCTTCTTTGAGAAAAGAGTGTTCTCAAGAGTTGGGGTAACTCTTGAGGGAATTGTAAGGTTATCTCTTTGGCCTCAAAAAAAACAAATTAGTGAATTTGCTGGAAAATCCTTAGTGTGGATAGCTAAGGTAGTGGACGTAGACTTTGTTTGAGAAAGTCGAACCACTGTAAATCGCTGTGCAAATACTTTCAATTCTCTGCAAAAGCTTCCACAAAATTTTTATTGCCAATTCACCCCCCTCTTGGCCAATTTCGTCATTCGATTAACTCAACAAAAACCCATTTTCTTTAATCTCTTATAACTTCTTCATCTTTTGATTATAAGACAACTTAAGCTTTCCTTAAGCTTAGTTATCATCTAATGATCAAAACCTAACCTTTAATTCAACAAATAACCAACAATCAGAAAACCCTTACCTTTGTTATGGCTATCTCATGAAGGAAGAAGAAAAAGAATTCTCTGGATATTTCTTCTTTCTCTTATCCTTTTACCCACGTATATATCCCCAACATATCACATTTTAATTCATTTAATATTAAATGGCCATTTTGCCCTTTAATTTCTTTAATAATTACTAACAATCCTCTAGATAATCATGAATTATCCAATTATTCTACTTTAATCACCAAATTCTGAAGTTTTACAATTTAATCACTAACCCGTATTTTGGGATGTTACAAATCTCTCCCCCTTAAGAAAATTCGTCATGGGGGTATTGAATCTTCATGTCCTCTTCACGTTCCCACGTCGCTTCTTCTATATTGTGATTTCTCCACAACACTTTGACTAATGGAAGAGTCTTGTTCCTTTATTGTTTAAATTCATGAGCTAAAATTTGGACCGGTTCTTCCTCATACATCAAATCTGATTGCACTTCTATTTCTTCTGGTAACACAATATGGGAGGGATCAGATCGATACTTACGAAGTATTGAAACATGAAAGACATTGTGAATTTTCTCCATTTCAAGTGGCAAAGCTAACATTTATGCTACTGGTCCCACTCTCTTAACGATCTCATAGGGTCCAATGAACCAAGGACTAAGCTTTCCTTTACGTCCAAACCTCAATACTTTCTTCCACGGAGACACTTTCAAAAACACTTTATCTCCGACTTGAAACTCAATTTCTTTCCTTTTTAAATCATCATATGATTTTTGTTTATCAGCTGCAGCTTTCAGATTATTCTGAATTACTTGAAATTTTTCTTTCGTATCCTGAATCAATTCAAGACCTATAACTTCTCGATCTTTAAGTTCATACCAGTTTAAGGGTGTACGCCATCTTCTCCCGTAAAGAGCTTCATAGGGAGCCATTTTGATGCTTGACTGATAACTATTGTTGTATGCAAATTCAACAAGTGGTAAATACTTTTCCCACGATCCTTTGAATTCGATGACACAAGCTCTTAGCATATCCTCCAGAA